AAGAAGCAAGAGCCGTATTTCCTTTCCCGTAGTCACGTTATTTACCTAACTTTTCACAAACTCTTTTCTCTTGCACGCATGGCGGGGCAACTGTTATTGTAGAGAACGTAAGTATCAGTCACTGAGCACAGACTCACAGAAAGTTAAGCCTGGGAGGAATGTCATGTGTCGTCTTGCCCAGCTTCTCATTTTGCAGATGAGGAAATTGAGGCCCACAGCAGTTACGTGATCTCTTTCAGCTTTTGGTGAGAGAACTGGAACTTGCATCCAGGCTAGAATCAGGGATGTGTTCTTCCCACTCTTTGCAGAATCCCATGCCTTACCAAAAAGGAATATTCTTTTTGCTTAGCACATAGTTTCTTGTCACAGCTCAGCTGTGTGGCTGCCACCATAGCCTCATAATGAAGGATAACAGTGTGAGGGAATACCTGCCTTGATTGGCCTTTGTACGTGGTGTCTACAAATGGTGAGACATATGGTGGACTTTTAATAAGCGTTGATACTCTAAAATTTCAATAGCATTATTCCAATTCAGACATGCTTTTGGAAAGAAGAAACAACTGAGAATCTCACAGTTGACTGCCAATTGTCAGCTGCCATGTTATGAGAATGTGTGCTTTCATTGTGCTATTTAAAAACATCACATGGGGCACCTGGGTGGCTCAGTCAGTTAAGCGTCTGCCTTCAGCTCAGGTCATGACCCCAGGGTCCTGGGATTGAGCCCTGCGTCGGGCTCCCTGCTCAGCAGGAAGTCTGCTTCTCCCTCTCCCACCACCCACCTCTGCTTGTGTTCCTTCTCTCACTGTCACTCTCTTTGTCAAATATATAAATAAAAATCTTAAAAAAATAAAAAAATAAAAACATCATAAACGAACATAAACATACACTTAAGGACCTCAAACATCCTGAAACATTCTCTTTCTTGGCATTGTGAGAATGTTTTTTACATGTATCGGAACTCTAGATAAGCAAAGTGATTTGAATACTCAAGAGAAAAGGATAAATAAAATAAAAGTAAAATACTAATTCCACAGAGTGTCTTGGATCCTATCTCTTTCTTGATGAGATCTATTGACTGACTGTGCACTGAACCATTGTGAACCAGGGTGCAAGCTGTTCTTCAGTCTCTGCTATGTAAAATATCTTGTCATTTGATGACACAGATTATTATTATACAAAAATCAGCATCAAACTAGAGAAGAATTTGGGAGAGTTCATGGCTTTTACGGCAATCCACAGCAAGTGATGCTGTCTTGACAAAATATAAAATTACCTCCAACCCTGAGTTGAAGCTCTAGGAGAGCAGCAAACAAGCCCTGTAGTATTGTTTTAGATGAAGCACAGTGATAGCTCCGTGCTTCCTTCAGGCCTCCTCTTTCTTCCTGAACGAACTCCAGGGAATGGCATCATGTCAGGCTTTCCAGATGGATTATGTGAAGCCATAGCTCAATGTCATTTTCAATAGGAAGCCTCATAATTAAAGGTCAAATAGTCACTTCATCTGCAATCCATCAATAGAAAAAGTACTAATACGAAGAACTAATCAATCAATGGCAAATGCACTAATAAAAGCAATGAATCAAATTCAGCATCTGCGTAGATGCAAGTACACTGAAGAGATTGAGACAGGGCAAAAGCACGAACAATAAAATAAATTGAAGTGTGTGTACAAGAGAATATTCAGAAGGCTTCTCAAGCGAGAATTTTCATCTTTGGTTCATTAGTTACCTGGGTACCACTTGGCCTACAATGATTTATTCTTGAATACAAATACTGTATATAATAATGAATGGTATTTCATAAGGCTTACTTAATGTATTCTATTGGAGGTGTTACATGCATGCACATGTGTTTATTGTGTATGTATAAAATCGCTAGAAGAAATATTTTGATAGTGATCTCAAAAGGGTTAGATATTTTTTCTAAATGCCAAATAGATATATTATAATCCATTGTATTTCATCTTTCTGTGAGAGGTGAAAGATAGTAGAACTCTGAGTGATATTATCTGAAATATGTTCCCTCCTTTCTGGAATGTGAATTTTTCACACTCAGTGTGATGTTCTTTCATTTCCATGCAGACAAGAGTTCCCTTAGGATAATTATTGGCCTGTAGCTCAGGCGACTATCATGGCACATCCTCTATACCAGTGATGTCAGGTCACCAGGAGAGGGGAGCATGCTTTGCATTTTGTGAAAATGGATACAGTGCAATTATAGGGCTTGCCAAGGCCATTCTAGTGATGTTGAGCCAAACACCCCTTGCTACAGGTAGAAATAAGGGTGCTGCTGGAACAAGGGCAATCCATGTCACCTCACTGAGATAAGTAGCAAAGAGGTCATATTTATAAAGGCTACCTGGGAGCCTGCAGGAAGGAAGCCAGGTATGATCAAGGCAATGATAGACTAGGCAGGTTGGAAGTAAAATTCCCGAATCTAAGAGCTAAGGAAACTGAAGCCTGGGGATGTCTCAGTGGAAGAGTGAGGACAAGTATTTAGGTCTTGCAATTCTAAGAGTGCTCACGGCTATCATGTTATGAAAATAACTAAGGATTTAGACTCTACGGTTACTTAGATTCCACGCTAGTACCTTATTGGAGGATCTAAGATCTATTTCACGGGAAAACACTGCAGAAACAAAGTACATAAGCAGACAAAAGTCAAGTTAACTCAACCTTTTTTAGCAAAACAGCTACCTCTGACTGGTGTTCAGAGTCCCCGTTTGCCTGAAAATCAGGTTTCAGAAAGTGTCAAGAACAGAATAATATTGCTTTGAGATTAAGAAAAAGAAAAAGACAAAAAAGAAAAAGATCTAATGGGTAGGTATTTTACTTATAGAAAAGGAAAGAATACTGATGGTGCTGCAGTATGCTTCTTGGGTTGAGCAATTTGCTCAACACGGTCAGCTCCAGCACAGAAGAACATCGTAGAGAGACAAAACAGCCATTTCGGTTTTCCAAAAGCAAACCCCTGGGAGTGTCTGGGATTTAAAGGCGCATTGCATCTTAGGTCACGGGCTCATTTGATTTCTGGCTCTGGACACCTGAGGCACCTGGCAGCTCTTGCCTCTGGACCACCTACCTTTATAAGAACCCCTTAGCTTTTAGGAGACCTGGAGCACTAGACATTACAGCAGAGTAACAGCACAGGGGTGGGGGTGGGGTTAGTGCAAGATGATTTCTTTGAAGTCAAAAATTAAACCACACCTATTTCATGAAAATCTAGAGGACAAGGGGTCAGGGGACTGGAATCCTGGAAACAGTAACACAGTCATAACTAATATGGTTACTGATAACTAATAACAACAGCTAGGCGGGCTACAGAATTTAGTCCCTCGCAGTCTACACACAGTGCAATGATTGTATACATTCTGCCGGGTACTGACTACCTATTATGTACAAATACTGTGCTGGGTACTTAACACATTTTATCTTTAATGTTAATAAACTTTATAAAGTGAGGATTATGCTACCCCATTTTACAGATGAGAAAGCTAAGTTTTAGGGAGGTTAAGTGATTTGTCCAGAGTCACAAAGTCAGGATTGGCATGTGGCTTCCAAAGCTCTCTCAACTTCGATTTAATGATATTATGAAGAAAGCCTAACAGAAATACTGCAAGGTACAGACATTCAATACAGTTAACCCTCGAACAACATGGGTTTGAACCACACGGGTCCACTTATATGTGGATCTTTTTTTCGATAAACACGGTACAAGGCTGTAAATCTATTTTCTCTTCCTTATGATTTTCTTAATAACATTTTCTTTTCTCGAACTGATTTTATTGTAAGAACACAGTATATACATATAACATACAAAATATGTGTTAGTTGACTGTTACCAGTAAGCCTCTCATCAATAGAAGGCTATTGGTAGCTAAGTTTTTGGGAAGTCAAAAGTTATATATGGATTTTTGACTATGCAGGGGGGTGGTTCCCCTAAGCCCCAACCTGCATTATTCAAGGGTCAACTAACTGTATGTTGTTTATTCAAATAAGCTGAAGCCCTAGATAGCAAGTGCTCCTTAAAGAGTCTGTCCAATTTCAAAATCATTTTCCAAACTTGGCAAGACTGACAATAGATTCTATCTAAACAAATATGCTTGGGGTTAGTAAAAACATTATGAAATGTCTTTCTTTTTTAGCTTACAGACTGAACTTCTTTAACATGAATAGACAGAGCAATGCCATGATTTTTCATTCTCTTAAGTGAGTCTCATGCCAAAATGTAAAGAAATTTTTAATGCAAGTTTTTACCACAATGTGATGACTACCTCAAGGAGTTTGTGAATGATGTATATTTCAAGAAGTTCCTGATTACTTAATGACTTTTAATGACTAAAAGCATGGATTCAGATTCCTGGACAGGTTATAGGGATAATGCCACTACAATGGGTAAAGCTTAGTAGAAAACAGCAGTTTTCTTCTTGATCTACTTTAGTCCATTAAATAAATACATATTTCACTTTAGGTGCTAATCAGATTAAATTAATGATAACTATGTTGTGTTTCTTTATAGAAATAACATTCTGAAATGAACTTTAATGTCAGTATCAGATTAGAGTAACAATATCTCTACCTTGCTCCAAGCTCCCAAAAAATAAGTTAACATTTTCCAGGGGCAACTCTAGAGCCTTCCAAAGCCAAGTTTTTGCCCATTCCTTTTTAGAAGTTCCCCATCCTTCCCCATCCCTGCCACCCCCTCCCCCGGCTTTTAATGTTCACATTCTACATTGAAACCCTTTTATGAGAATCACAAACATAATTATAAATTAAGCTAAATCCTACACTATTAAATTTAGGCCTTCAAAAATTGGTTCAATCAAATAATGGTATTTAAAAGGAATGACCCATCCTCACCTTGCTTTTTTGTTCTTTATCTAACGGAGTGGACAATACTCCATTCCATTTAATTTGAAAAGTTGCTTAAATTTCAAAATCATAAGATGTAACTGTCTGAGGATAATATAAAGTTGGTTTTTAACTCTGCGAATCACTTACCCAGTGTGAGGGATTTGTGTGTAGAACAGAAAATGATAGCCACAGTGTCTGCTGGTGTGAAACCCGAATTATTCCTAGGGGCAAAAAGAGTGTTTTACAAATACTTGTATAAAAAGCCTACTTAACACATCCTAAATCAAATGTAGTACCTACCTTCATGTTAACATCCTTTTGATCAATCCTGGTGACAGAAGTAATTCTATGCCCAAATGTAGAAAAGTGTCTGAATTTCTTTTTAGAGAATCATTCCTGAGTCATTTATCCATGAAGAAAATGTCTTAAAAATGTGTGGTGGACACCACTTCTCCCCACTTCCCCATGCTCTTCTCCCTATCCCCCATTCCTAACCTCTGGCAACCACCAAGCTGTTCAAAAAATTTTTCATTTCAAAATGTTCTGTGTGTGGAATGATATGGTATGTAACCTTTTGGGATCGGCTTTTTTCCCTCAGCATTGACCCCTAGACATTCATCCAAGTTGCTGTGTGTATCAATAGTTTGTTACTTTTATTGCTAAATAGCATTCCATGATATGTATGTATCATAATTTGTTTAACCATTCACCTATGGAAGGACAGCGGCACTGTATCTAGTTATTGGTTATTAAAAATAAAGTTGCTCTAAAAAAATGTGTGGTGGAGGTCTCTGGCTTTGTGAAAATCATGCAGTGGGGACCTGTGTTAGCAAAGTTACTAGGCTATCACTTGATATTAATTCCAGTGGCTTGAAAGAGTTAATGTATCTCCATAATTGCTTCCCTCAAGAAGCAGCAGACCTTTCTGGCAGCAAACACACCCTTTGGAGGAATACATGGTATGAACAAAGATTTAACATCACATGTTTCAGTAAAAATAACAAGTTTTCATTCCTTGAGCTGTTACTGTGTATCAGATACTCCTCTAAGTTCTATACATTTGAAGAGAACTATCCCATAAGGTAGGCGATACAATATCCCTATGTTATATCAAATACGTTAAGCATTAAAAAAAAACCTCACTTAGCTAAAATCCATTAAGTGTTATGGGGACCAGTACTGGTGAATTTCATATTCAGATTTTCTATTTTAGAACACAAAGATTTAGAGAACCAGGAGCCAAAAGGATTAGAAATGTTGTTGTTGTTGTTGTTAGTGTGCTCGATATGTTAGAAACTATTTCTTCCTACAGAATCAGGATTTGAAGTTACAGTGAGTCTATTCATTCCCTGCCCTGAGTCAGCAAATGGAAAACACTCCAGAACCTGACTCTATTTGTATAATTGTGGATATAACAATCAATCCAATTTTTAAGGATCTCTAAAGAAAGTGATCCCACCGCTTTCCTTAGTAACCTCATCCTCACTATAACTTTCATTGGGAGAAAAATCTTCCCTAAACAGATCCACACATCCTGTTTTCTTTGTTATATATTCACTGGAGGGGAGAAGGGCCTCCTCCTCCTCCTCATCCCCGTGTTAAGAGAATATGAAAATTGCCCTTTGGTCTTCTCTCCTCTGAAAAGTCATGTGTGCTCATGCTTCCTAACCAGTCTTACCTCCTGCTCTTTTTGGATAACAACTTCCCAAACAGTTTTTGGTGTCTCATCTCAATTGAGGATTCTCATGGATATGCATCAGTTGAGTATAATAAGATTGCCTTACTGTTCCCACATTTTATTATCATATTTATACTGTGATATCACTTTTCCTTTTAAACACTGAACTACACGGCTGACATATTCCTTGATCCCTTTGTTCATCATGTATATATATACATATTAGGGAGATTGAGAAAGAAAGAAAAAAAGGGGGTGGGAGGGTTATGGCACCAAAGAAAAGGATTATCTCAAGCTTGGTAAGGAATGCGGGATAATGATGGAGCACACAGAGAATCTTCTTGAAGGAAATAACCATTGAGCTGGCTTTAAAGGACAGGTTTAGACGTGGGTGGGTGTGTATTTCAGGTAAGGGGCAGTGAGACTGATATCTGGGGGTGAAGGGGGCAGTTGGCAAAGAGCAGACTCTTCAGGCTGACTTGAGTGCAGGGGCGCTGGTTTGTGACCAGCAGTGTGGACTTGACAAGACGGGCTGAGGAGGTTGGGAGGACTAACCACCCAGTGCAGTGTAAGAAAGACTGGTGATGATGAGGCTGGGCAGGAAGCAGAAAGCTGTCAGGGCCTGAAGAATCACAGTGAGGGCAGGGATGCTGGTAAGAGACATGAAGACAGAATTAAAGAACTTGTCAAATGTTGACCTCTGTGAAATATTCCCTCCCAGCAGCTTTAGAGCACAGGCTTTGGGGGAAGACCCAGCTGAATTTCAATCCAGACCATCCTTTTACTTATATAGAAAATGGGGATAATACTGCTGATCTCTTAGGGGCCATTGCGAGGATAAATACCATTGTTTGTTAAGAATTTGGCACACAGCAAATGTTTAACACAAGCTAGCTGATCTTTTTATTGTTACTGTTACTTTGAGAGAGGAGGAAGAATGAAAGAAAAACAAGAAGCTTTGGGCACATAGGATTAAGAGCAGTACTAGGGCGTTAATGGAAATAGGGAAGGGAAGGGGAGGCCCAGTGGGGCCTGGGGAGGAGGCCAAGGAGCGAACAGAATTTGTATTAATGAGAGGGTACCGTTTTTTCAAGAACTCTGGTAAAGAGAAGAAAAAGGTCATGGGAATCTGAACGTGACCATGCAGAGATAGTGAAGACCCAGTGTAGAAACAACTGATGAAACCAGGTCCTTAGAGAGGTCAGAGAGGCCCAGGCTGTGGGATTAGCCTGAGAGGGCTTATTTTCTAGTCCGTGAACTGGACACAAAAGAAGACAGGGTGAGTGAAAAATATGGAAAATTTTCAGGTAGAGAATGGGAAAGGAGAGGCAATTTATGTCAGAGATTTTACTTTCTTTGTAAAGCATGAGGCACTTCACTCATCCACAGAGCTGGAGGTAATGCTGAGGCCTGGGAACCTAAGAGATTAGGAAAACTTGAAAGAGGCAGAGTGGGGAGTAGGAAATAGAGTCAATTCACAGTGAGTAAACCCCTTCGACAGGAATGAAGGCCCATCTGTGCTTGCGGAGCACGTGGCATCACAAACTGGCCTAGGTTGAGGCTGTTCTCCAGCCATGCTTGTGGTGTTGGTGACGCTACAAAGGCCTTTGTAGTCTTTTGCTGTCCTTGTTTATAACCCATTGTTGCTGCATCTGGATCATGCAGTTCATTTTTTTTCCTCAAGAGTCTGGCAACACACTTCTCCTTTAGTGAACTTTGTTCTGCTTGATACCTTGCTCTTTTCCAGGCTGTAGCACATTTCGTGTGTCAAAATCTCTCTGGCCGAGAAGGCTCTGATTTAATCTGGCCTTGGCTGTCATGGGTCAGAGCAGCACTTACAGTGCGGCTAAGAAGGATATCTGCCAGCCCTGCTTCCTCGTCCCGTTTCAGGTAAGGTGGCTGAAGCTAGGCCTGCGCGGGGAAGTTTCCAGCCCGATCTGCGTTGGAACAGTGCCCTACGGTCTACTGACACAGGGTACATCAGTGGGGAGGGAGTATCAGCACATAAAAATGGACCACTAAAGGTTAAAACAATATTCTCCCTAAATCCTCCATCTGTAGAGAAACAGACTGCTCCATAACCTGGGCCGTGGGGAAAGCCAATAGAGCAAATGCTCACTGAGGCCTCTGTTCACGAAGAGGAGTATGGTGCTGATGAATCACCACAGCAGGAAACACTGAGCATTCTTCTAAGCCCTCTACTCCCAGTATTTCCTTCTTCTTGGAACAGCCTTATAAGCCCGAGGGTACTACTACTGCTTGCTTCTTCCGAAAAGGGAACTTGAAGCACAACAAGGGTAAACAACTTCTCTCAAGTCACACTCTGCCAGTAAGTAGGCTGCCCCAAATTGGAGACAAGCCTGCTTTCTGAGAAGGAAATTAAGAAAACGAAAACGAAAACCAAAACACCGCCACACACTTTAGTGGATGTGAGCCGCTACCTTGGTAAGGTAGGTAACCTTCCTTCGGCCATGCTCTGTCAAGCGGTGGCCTAAGGGCAGAAAGTCATGACAACACCCAGAAAAAGGACGCATCCTGTGCATTATATTTAAATGGTAATGACTATAATTATTTTCAGGGATTAACGTCTCTATTGTGTCTGTTCACACTCTTGAAAGGAATCACATTACTATTTATTTTCTAACTCTACCTTATCTCTTTTTAATATCGATTTTCTTTTTATCCTGTTTTTATAATTCTTTTGATCACTTTGGCTCCCCTTGAGATGTTTATTTCCTTTTCTTCCCAACTGGTCTTTTTATGCTCTTTTACAAAGCTTTCAATCAGTGTTTTCCACATAATATTTATCTTGCCTTTCTCTGCAGTATTCACAAAGGAAAACATGTCAGAAGGTTTTACTAGTAGAATCACAGAATGTGGAGCAGAAAAGGTCCTCTGAGAGAGTTCCATCTAAGCCCACTGTTTTCAGAGGAGGAAACTTCCATGTGAAATACTTTCTTTTGTTAACCTCTGTACCTGTGTTTTGTCTTTACTTAATTTTAGGAGAAGCCCTCATCTGTCATTAGCTGTGTGCCATTAAACAAGTTACCCAGAGCTCTGTGGCTTAGTTGCCTCATGTCTGAAATGGTAAGACTTACCATTAATACTAATACCTGCCTTCTTCCCCTCCCTCCCTCGCTCCCTCTCACCACCTCCTTCCCTCCCGGGGCTACAATGAGCAGCTGATTGAGACATCTGATTAAAAATGTACTGAGACAGGGATGAAAACACCTATACAAATATTCAAAATTTGTTTTCTTCTTTTTTTCTTTCTCAATAGTTTCTTTTGTCACTCCAGTGATACTCTGGGTTTCTATTACTCTAGTTATCAGCTTTCCAAACTGTCTTTTATGTATTTTTTAAAGGCTCACAATTACTGCTTTCTTTTTCTTAACCTTTTCAACACTTTATTTTAACTCTGACAGCTTCCCCAGGTTGCAGACTGTGGACAGGGTACTCTGGAAAACTGACTCTTGGTTTGATGAATCAGCTCGTCTCCTAGCATCTGTGACAGTGTAACATCAAAGAGAATGTACTACGAAGCTAGAAATGCTAATTTCCTCTCTTCCATCATTAGTTTGTGCAATAATATAGATAAACTGTTTTGGTATAATAAATATTTGACAGTTGCTAACATTTATTGAGCACTTAATATACGCTAGGGTTGTGATGAGGACTTTCTGTGCATACTATTCATTTCACCAAATGACTCTATGAGGTAGGTCCTATTACTATCTCCATTTTATAAATGAGGAATGACAAAAGTCACAAAGTTATTAAGTAGGATTGAAACTCATGTCTGTCTGACTCTAGAATTGGAATTTTTAACCCTGACATTATTCTGTCGACACATAAGGACACAGAGTAGTAACTCTAAAATGTATTTTAAATACTCAAAGTAGTAGTTCACATGCCAGACACTAGAAAGCTAACACATCAGGTCAGTAGATCCAAGAAATGTTAACCAGGTAAGAGGAGTGTTGTAGGAAAGTTGAATTTTCTCAGCTCGTCTCTCCTGGTTTATGCTAAACTTCCATCATCAGGGGTCACTGGCATACTGTATAAAAAAAGAAAGACTGATTTCCACGCTGAGGTTTTTGTCTCTTGATATCTGGACGGGTTTTAGATTTAATGAATCGGTAAGAAAAAGATGAAAAACAAACCATAGGCCAATTTCACTAATTTTAAGTAGAAAGAAACAAAAAATAGGAAGAGAAAATGAAACTCAGCAGAGTATAAACCAATGGGTCCTAGTTCACACTCTTGGTGTCTTTGACTAATTTGTTTGTGTGAGTGAACTTGAAGAATCCAGTTAAATACTCTCTACAGATTCCCTAACAAAAACAAGCACTTAGGAATTTTAAAAGTAACTGAATTAGTTTAGTGCAGTGGAAGAAGTGTGGGCAAATGTCAAATGGAAATGGATTTCAATTCCACATGTACTCTTTGCCATCTGTTATTAAACTACTAAAATCTGATTTTAGGCAAGCTATTAAACTAAACTACTCTAAGTACAGGTCCTCATCAGCCAAACAGCAACAAAAAGGTATCGTATCATAGTCTTTGTTGTCAGACTTTCATGAAAGAACATACATATAGTCCCTAGCACAGTGCCTGCCACAGAGCCTGGCTCCGTAAACATATCTTTTATTGCTCCAATAAAATCCTTAGTTAGGCACAAATGAGGTCTCTCATAGTTAAAAAAACAAAACAAACAAAACAAACAACCATCTTCTGAATTTTGTTCAATTGAAAAATTCCTGATTTTTAATGGCACATTTTGGGGAGGGGCATGATTATAGCCACTCCTTATTCTGCTGTTTATCAAAGAATGTGCATGTCTGACCATTGGTTGAACAAGTTCAAAATGCAAGAGAACTTCGTTGAATAAAAGGGCCTTAAGATCTCAAGGCCTTGGGCGCCTGGGTGGCTCAGATGGTTAAGCGTCTGCCTTCGGCTCAGGTCATGATCTCAGGGTCCTGGGATCAAGTCCCGCATCGGGCTCCCGGCTCGCAGGGAGTCTGCTTCTCCCTCTGACCCTACCCCCTCTCATGCTCTCTCTCTCATTCTCGCTCTCTCAAATGAATAAATAAATCTTTAAAAAAAAAAGATCTCAAGGCCTTCTGCAAATCCAGTCTACTCCACACTGAAAATTCTCACTTTTAATTCAACCAGTTGTGACAGCATCCCGGCCCCACCCCTCCTTCAGCCATTCCAGCAGCGGCCATTCTGTGCTTTTCAGCACGCTTTTAGTCACTGACCGGACATCTGCATCCTACCCAGTCTGACAGGATAGGAGGAGTGGCTCTGATATGACTTCTGCCCCAAGGACCAGCACACAAACAGCCGGTGAAAGGCAAACATCTTTTCTAGGGTGACATAACAAACCGTTTACAAAAAGAACTTTAAAATAGCTCCGATTCCTACACTACCCATTTAAGTCACATTTTCTCGGTGTCTTAATGGCTCCAGGCTTCCCTCTTACTTTATAAATCACAACCACAAGCCAGAGAAAATGGTTCACATTACACCAATCAATAAATTTCTATTGACTGCTGACAATCAGCCTCATGCTATGCCAAGTGCTGTAAGGGCCAAGTGCTGAACACGAGGCCTGAACAACTCGGCCACTGTTTCGATCTCAAAAACAACCTGGACCAGGCCGTCTGCATGGCGCGGTCGGTTAAGCGTCCAACCCCTGGTTTTAGCGCAGGTCATGATCTCGAGGTCCTGAGATCCAGCCCTGCATCAGGTTCTGTGCTAAGCGTGGAGCCTGCTTCAGATTCTGTCTCCCTGTCCCTCCCCACTGCTCGCGTGTGCATGTGCACACTCTCTCTCCAAACAAAAACAAAAACTAAAACAAAAACCCTGGGCCTTTTCCCTTGTGGCAACTCACTGCCATCACCTGGCAATCTGGCCTAAGCCTGCCTTTCTAGTTACTGTTATTATTTTTTAATCTTTTTCTGCTCCTATTGTCCCACTGTGTGTGTGTGTGTGTGTGTGTGTGTGTTCCACACTTGCATTATTGGGTTTTTTCCCCACCAAGAAGCTCCTCTCTGCATCTCGGTTTGCTGGTCTGCTGAAATAATTAGCCATTCTTTATAACTCATGTCAAATCCCATCTCTTCCACGAAGCCTTGCTCTACCACTCTCTCTGGAAGTGCTTTTTCCTTTGAATTGACTACAGGTTGGCTTACTGTCCACTGAGAGGACACTTAGTTATCAGACATATATCTAGTCTACAAACTCATGCAAGGTCAGAATCATCTCTTCTTTGTAGTCCTCACTGTGGTAACTTCCTCATACCGAAGGCTTAATACCGGTTGAATGTACAATACTGGTGGAAGAAGCTGCATTAGAGGTGAGCCTTTAAGAACAGGAAAGATGAACTAGGGCACAGAGACCAATTTAATGAGGATAGCCTAAGCAAGGAACAGAAATGAGAATGCATGAGGTTCCTCCAGGGAACGGCAAAGATTTTCCCCTTAATCTAAAGCTTAGACAGCATGAATGCTGTGGTTCACTTAGCCCCCCAAAATGAACTTCATTCTACAGGAACCCTTGAAGATCTCTGATAAGAGCTATTAGGAATCTATTGTGATAAGAGACTATTATGAGAACTTTGAGTTATTGGAAGTAGTATGAAATGCATAAGAAAAATTCATTTTAGAAATGAAGATACTTGTAAGATATCCACTGCAACAGTCCAGGGAGAAAAGAGGCAACAAGAGCCTGAATTAGGGAAGTAGCTTTGGGAGCACAAAAAATACTACAGAGGCAGGACCAAGACATTTTAAAAATAATGATTCCAGTCTGAGTAACCATGTGGATGGTGATTCCATTAACAATAAAGAAATGAGAGAGAAAGAGGAAGTATTGGGGAAAAAATTTAATTCCATCTTGAGACTGAGGTCTTCTTAAGACAGGTGAAGATATCTAAATAGTTAGTGATAAATAGTGCTGGAACTCAGGAAAAACATTGGAATGGAAGGTCTAGGCTTGAAAATCATCAGCAGGAAGCTGCCAGCTCGAGCCAGCAGAATGGAGGAGGAGGCCACCCAAGCACATGATGCAAGCAGATGACACAAGGGCCACGGACAAACCCTTTGGGAATGTCTACAACCTGAGGGTGGCAGGAGCAAGATGGAATGGTCAGGAGACTGGAGAAACACTAGAATAGCATAGTGGCATAGAAGCCAAGTACACAGCACGATTCGTCATTTAGAAAACTAACAACCATAAGAGCTACCGTACCACTTACCTTGTTGAAAAGAGGAAGGTTAAAAGCATAAAACTCAGCTGAATAGAAAATACTGAAAGAAAAAAGATCGAATCTAAATTAGGGGTATAAAAATATCTGTAGCGTAGTTACTGGTATGCTTAGTTTTATCTTCAACTTATGGGATAGCAAGTAGGAAAACAGACACACATTGCTAAACCAATAGAATCACTGAAGTTAGTGGGACTGAACTTGTTCTTATGGAAGATATCCCCAGGCATCTGGTATGATGTCTACTACTCTGCAAATCTAAAACCCTCCTTGATTTGAGACTTGGTTATTTAATTTGTTCAATTTAGAAAGAGTTGGTTTATGCTATGGGTATTCACAGCAAATAGCATGACTGCAGTAGGCATCGAATACATATTTTGGAATAAGTCATGTTGATTTTAATAACAAAAGATTCTTAGGCATTATAATTACAAAGTCGTCTTTGGTATTACAGGATAAATGGAACAAAAGGCTGATACTTGATCCTTTCAGTTTACTTGCATTTCATAGTTTGCCACTTCTTAAACTGAAATGGTACTACCTTGGGTGTATTTTAATAGAAAAGATGATGTAAATATCCACCTTTTCACTAACTCAGCCAATTATTAAACTTTGAAAATGACAGTATTTAGTAAATAAATCCTACTTTGAACTCACAATAAAGGGTAAGATTAGCTCAAAGTTATAGTAAAATAAATTGGCAAAAAAGTGCTCAATCTAACATTTGAATGTGACAGATCCCATGGCTTCTTTCATCTGGCATCAACTATTATAAATCAAACATAAAAAACAAAGGACATTAAATCATAAATACATAACTGATGTCTTCTTAAAGAACAGACACACATGTTAAAGTCACTGAGCACATATAAGATGAAGCTCAGTATTCTTTTCTAATCAAATTAACATTCAAAATGAACTTAGGGGACACAAATTGCTACGCTTTGCTCCTGAGGAGACTGAGGGGATAGCAAGAATGTTCCCTCTTCCAACTTACTTATGAACAGTATGAGAATAAGGCTGAATTTATCCAGGTCAATATTTGGGTTAGAGAACGTGTCGCAGAAGGTGGTGTAGATGATCATGAGGAGCACGCTGCTGCTGATAGCACCAAAAGGCGGTTTCTTTCTTTCAAGCCAATCCTTGATGTATCTTCGGACAATCTGAAATACAGAGATCAACAGGTTGCCTCTTTTCGAAGATGCAGAGAGTTGAGTTGGGCATCGCAAAGTGATTCTGACAGCAGAAAGACATAAAGGAAAGAGAATAATTTGGATGAAGGCCACAGTGGATTTCAAAGCTTCCCTGCCACACCACTCTTCTTCTGGGGGATTTAACATTTGTAGTTAACTTCCACTGGTGTCCATAATGACAGTATATTTTCAACTGCATTCAAATCCATCCTTAATCATGCCAAATGCTCTTTGCTAGCTGTCACTGAGACGTGCCCATTAAGCCTCCCCAAAGTTTATCTCCTCTGCTGATCCTAATGGATGTGTGTAATTATCACAGTCCCCTTTGCCTCAATAGACAATTCCAAGTGCAACTTTGGGAATCTTAAAAATCTGACATCTTCAAGAATTTCAAGACAGTAGATAATCGAAAGTGATCCATGGAACATATTAATATTTAAAATGCAAGCAAAGCACCAGAAGTTTTTAATTAAATTATAACTCATGCTTGAAAAGCAAAAGTGCATGTGTTGTGGGAGTTTAAATAATTCAAACTCTGAATATCTAGAGTTTTTGTGAATCCAAAGACAAATGCCATTTGCATGCTTTTAGAATTCTAGAATTAACACTTAAAAATGAATAAACCTGTCCTAACTCTCCTACAAAAGGATGAGTGAATAAAGTTATACAGCAATCCTCTCTTCTTTAAAAATCAAATCAGATATTTAAAATCAGGACAGGTTGATTTTGGTGATAACTTTTGCTTGGATATAAAAGTGAACCGCTCCTACTTAAAACCTTACACTTTTGAAAGAAGCCGAACAAACCCTGTAATAAGGACTGTGGTTGAGACATATTAAGTTTTGAGTCACTCATTATCCTGCATAATTGAACATGAGATTTCACAACAGGCTGAATTACCATGACCCATTAGCAATAATGAGGTCAGGGAACTTCTCCTGACAAGGCTGATGGGGTTCTGTCATCTTCTACTCTGTGGCTAAAAAGGTTTAATTCGCAATGGAGCATGCCTTCACAGATACTCAAGAACAAAGTAAACTACTCTCAAGAGAACATTTGAACAAATGGCTATTAGATCAACTTCATCCATTCTCAAGGACTCAGTAAGTGAAACTCTAGTATTAATAAAGGAAATACTGGCAGAAAGCTGACAAGTTGGTACAAAGTACAGGAATAACACCTTGAAGGCTGGGTGGGCTGGGAATGAAAGAGAAACAGTGCTTTTTATATATGTAGACAAACAGTGGTTAAATATTTAAAAAAAAAAAAGACCTTGTAATTAAAATTACAGCTGGATTTATAAAAAAAACTTATGGTTTTTCTTTTTGTAGATGTGATCCCAAATCATAGTAATTTATTTTATTCATTTCTTTCTTTAAGGTTAAAATGAACTAAGGGATAGGGATGCCTGGCTGGCTCAGTCGGTAGAGCATGGGACTCTTGATCTCAGGGTTATGGGTTCAAGCGCCACGCTGGGCACAGAGATTACTTAAGAAAACTGCAGTAAGGTAGAGAAAAGTAAGAGCAGTTCTGCCACACAATGTTATTGGGCTGATGCATTAGAACACAAATTTTGGATAATAGTGCTTGAGGTACCCAGATGGCCCCATGTTCAGGTATGTCCCCGTGGGAGTAATTGCTTACTAGAAGGCTACAGAGAGACTTCATTTAAGAGGTTATTTCATAATCTATTATGTTTGGTAGCATAAAACTAGTAGTTGCCCAAATTTAAGACAACTCAACTCCTTAAGGAAATAAAATAAATGGAAGTTACACAGAGTTATTGAAATTGATGCTGTCCTCCAATCGTGTTTTAATATACAATGATTAAAGACACAAAAGTCCTTTCTCTGCAAATAGTTTATAGAATGTAGGATACCAATTCCCAAAGTAGAGTGTCGTCTTCTACCAACAGTGACCCCACTGACAAAATAATCAGATAAATATGAATGAGGTATAACTGAAAGTCAAAGCCATTTTAAAAACCAAGACAAATCTCTAATCATCAATCTACTTTATAAGCTGCAATTTGACATAGTTGACCTAATTACCTCTTTGTTCAGTACGAAGTACTCAGAGTCTCAGAGTATAGAAGGACTCTTTCAATATGGCAGGAAACATGGACTCCTAAGTCCTGCATCCTCTTAGCCAAAATGTCTTTCTTCTAAACACATCAATGTGTTAATGCTGGATACTTAATCTTGATAAAGAAAACAACTAGAAAGTTGGAAATTGGACAGACCCAAAAGCGAAGCAATAACCCGAGGGGAAAACAGATCGTCTTTCACTGTTTTTAGTCTTGTAGTGATGTTTGTCTGTGTTTTCTAAGCAAACCATTTTATAGCTTTGCCAGGCCCCATAGAGCTTTTCTATCTGCTTCTAAAATTAAATTCACAAAGCAGCTGCTTTTGCAACAGTGTAGCAAGAAAAGTGTTAAAATCTTTCATAAACTACTGGGTGAAGTCACATTGATATGCTTTAAAGATACGCTGTGGATATAAACGTCAGGAAACCTCATCTTCTCTTCATTCAGCCACTAACACTTCAATACAATCATCCTCCATTTGTCAAGAATCTATGTCATTTTAAAATTCTCCAAATTTCTTTGCCTTGTAGAAACATTTAATAACCTTATAGGAAACAAGCCTTTGCTGGCGATAGCAACCCAACCTGATATAGACACCTCAGAATTCCCTCTTCGGGGGTGGGGGGGGGACAGTCAAGATGAGGTGGGAAAAAGCATCTTGATAAGGTGGCCAGCTGTAGCTTTCTTCAGGATCTATACTAATTCATTTGCACTCATAGCTCACAGAAAGTTAGGCATTCAACATTAGATGACAAATCCTCGTTGACTTGCTGTTCCCCATGGAGTGGGGAGGAAAAACATCTTCCTCAGGAAGCTCTTTATTGTCTCACTTTCTTCATTTTGATTTTCTCTATTTTAAATTAAACACCAGGAGAGCTTAGAAGGGAAACTTAGACTTGAATCCCAGTACTTTTAATAAGCTGAGCCACATATCAATTACTGTATGACCTCCATGCTGGAAACCTGAGAAAATATGTCTTAGGTGAGGAATGTTTATATACTGAGATAACTGAGAAATGTAATATCCATCATTTTAGTTTTCTCCAATTTTTTTCTGGGGCATTTTCTTGCTTTTTTTCCTTCTACTCTGTCTTTATATTTATAAATTGATTTTTGAGTGGGGATATGTGATGGATAATTTTTCATATTAAGTCTGAATTTTAAAGATTTATTTTTCTTCAAGGTGACTTCAGATTGTTTCTTCAAGTTTTATCTTCTATTCCACTGAATCCATATATTTTCATAAAGTGTTTGCTTTTTCTTTAATAGTCTGTTGAAATGTATAGCCAGGGATACGAAATCAAATCCAATGTATATAACACTTTTCTTTAAAAATATTTTTATTAAATATTGAGTAGATTCAAAATAATATCCAAAAAGTATAAACAGTAAAAATACATGGGATACAGTAAACACCCATCATCTACTAAAGTATTACTTAAATTGTCTGCAGATATTATCCTGCTCAGTTTATAGTTTAAAACAAAGGCACAGAGAGCCCAAACAACTGGCATAAAATGTTAAAAAGTCATTGAGGAGGGTTGGGGGTATGAGCAAGGAATATGACCTCTACCTCCTGAGGCAACAGAGCATCATGGTTAAAGGTATGGACTTTGGAGCTTCTTTCTTTGTAATCTTGGGCAAATCCTTAACTTTCCTGTGCCTCATCTGTAAAATGGATCCAGTAGTAGTCATAGGAAGATTAAGTTATTAAATAAATATAAAATGCTTTAGAACCAGGGCCTGTACATGGTGAATAATGGCTATTCTTATTTCCAAGTCCTGATTTGGTGATGTTTCTATCACACACTGTTTACCAGGATATCCCATGGCATGATGCAACAGCGCCTTTTCTCTCAGAGCACTTCAAGTGAAGCAATGAAAATAGTTCATATCGAATATAATTTTATAAATGCAAAATCTTGCCAGCATTAATAACATTATCTTCAGCTTTAGCTTAAGACTGTTTAATATGAAAAGCCAACCTCAAAAATTTACAGAAAAAAGGTAGGCCTTAGCACGCTGTTTTTAAAAAAATATTTTTCAAAGGTGGTAGAAGTTCTAGTTTGTTAACATTTATTCTTAAATCTCTCAATATAATGAGTGAAATAAGTAATTATCACAAGGATTTAGATGTATCGAAGGGTTTATCAGGAAAAAAAGAAATATTACAATAACACATGTTTTGTTTCTTTCTAGAACTGGCAGATGATGCAATCTCTCAACCATCTATGGAAAGACTTACTTCACACCATCACAGCATCTTTGAGCTCGAAGATATGAGACTCATTGTTCTACAAATGAGGCAAGTGAGGGCTAGAAGTTGTGTGTATAGTCAGGCAGTGGCAGAAATCAAACTAGACCCTACATCACATTGCAGCCAGTCAATAATGAGTCCAACCAGAAAGAAGTACTGTATGGGGAAAACACAGAAAAATAAAATAAAATGAACTCTCAGAAACATAAGTAAAAAATTAAATAATGAAGCTTTATTATGACTAGAAGATTAAGGAAAATATTTTCAACTCTTCCTTCCTGGTCTTTTTCTTCTCCTTCTAGTTCCCATTGTTTATTTAAAAGGTAATGATAAAATCCCCTTTTAAAAGATATACACACAAATCTAGAGAAATATTTATTTTCATAATGTGCCACCTCTAGTTACAATCGAGAGATAAGACTACCTTGCCTGGGCTCCTTCCCCTGAAGTAGTACATATGAGTACTTCTAACAAGGTCCTCAGAGATCACATAACAAAGTTTAGGTAGGTCGACTGATTACATACGAATACAGAGAGAAAAGAGCAGAAAAGGTCCCTGGTATCATAGAGCTTATATTCTCGTTTAAGAAGATAAATAGGAAAAACGACAAACAAATCAACAAGAGGAAGATCACGACCCTGAGTAGAGGTTTAAACTGGATGATATGACACTGACTATTGGGCAGCCACTGGAGGAGGGGTAAGGAAGGTCTTTCCGAGAAGGTGAAAGGTGAGGTGTTCCAAGCAGAAGGAACAGCTGGTACAAAGTTTTTAAGGCAGGATCAAAGCTGGCATGTTTGCGAAACAGAAGCAAAGTCAGGGAGACCCAAGTGCAATGGGCAAGTGGGAAAGTATTAGGGTAAGTAAAAGAGACCTGAAAATACAAGACAGGGTAAAATAATCTTCTAAGGAAGTACAGTAGGATTTCTAGGAAGTGTTAAGTGACATTTTAAATTTGGGGTCATAAATTTGAAACAAGATGAGACCAATTAGGTGTTTCTCTCTAGTAAAGCTGGAGATCTAGGTAAAATAGCTACTGGGGGCTCCATGAGGGTAAATTTGAAGTTTTTTTCAGCCAATCTTTTTATACAGCTCACACTCTACTTTTTTTTTTTTTTTTTTATTTGACAGAGAGAGAGACACAGCGAGAGAGGGAACACAAGCAGGGGGAATGGGAGAGGGAGAAGCCCCGCCGAGCAGGGAGCCGGATGCGGGGCTCGATCCCAGGACCCTGGGACCATGACCTGAGCTGAAGGCAGACGCTTAACGACTGAGCCACCCAGGCCCGCCTCACACCCTACTTTTGAGTAAACTACTAAATATACTAATCGTCTCTGCTTCTCAGAAGATCCCAGATCAATTATAATCGCTCCTGATGAATATTATGAATCAAGTACCATGCGAGAACTGGTATTTAGTCTAGAACGGGGGAGTCAGAGCAGGTTGACTGCACACCAGAGGGTATCTTTGTACTGAGTCTTAAGGAATGAGTAGGAGTTTGCCGGCAGGAAAGGCGCAAACCTCAAACTGAAAGGCAGGGGGCAGTGAAGGGGCATGGCCAGGTGAGGGAGTGGTGCGCAAGAGGCCTGGCACAGGAGGTGCCGTTAGGGAGGGGATGGTGGGAGGTGACACTGAAGCAGCAGGGTGGGGCTAGACTGTGAAGGGCTTTGTGGGCCACACAAGGAATGGGCGGGGGTGGGGGGGGCACTTTTAAGGGGAAGAACAACATTTGATTTTTCTTAGGGCTTTCCTGGAGGCAGTGAAGACATTGGCTAGGAATGAGAAGAGGCTCACAGCAGAGAGATTGGAAGTACAGTAATTTAGACGAGAGATGACTAAGTTGTGGCATCCTCTATGGTGGTGTGGATGAGGTCGCAGATACCAGATGTGAAGGACTTCTGCGGCAGAAACGGAGGCATTTAGTGATCGCCTGGATGTAAGGGAGTGAGGATGTACAGAAAAAGAGGAGGCAGGTGGTTTCTAAAGGTGGAGACACAGGGCTGTGATTATTAATTCCTAAGACTAGAATACAGGAGGTGGGCAGGTAGATGCAAATACGTTTTCCTCTTTGAAAAAAGCCATTAAAGGACTTTGGTACTGGAAGAATTTTTTAAAACCACCTATATTACTTTTTGACTACCTTTACTATTTTATAATTTACCGTAATACTTTACTACTGGGCGAGCAATGATGAGCAATCTAACAATTCATTTTTCTCTCTGGATACATATTCTTAATTACATAAATTATGTAACTATATATGTAACTAAGTGTACATATAACTAGATATAAAAATATGTATATATATCATTGAATAGTTTAGATAAAGGTATTTTTTTTTGTCCATTATGTTTGAAGCCAAACATTTATTATCAACAGAGATATTTCCAAGATACAATAAGAAAAGAATGTGTGAGCCTTCAGTTATATGGAATTATTTTCAGAACCAAGAAAATAAGTATGGGTTTAAACTAATAGTAACCACAGCTTAAACTGTCTAGAGCTGAGAAAGGCAGGTAGGTTCTGTTATGCCTCTGTAAGACAGCATTTCCCTTACCGATCATAGAACTCACCCATTCATTCCCTCACTCACCCATTCCATACATTATTTATTGGGTGCCGATCATCTGGGTATGTAATGGTAAACAAAACAAATATGGTTCCTATACTCATGAAGCTTACAGTCTAATGGGGGAGACAAACAGGTCACAAGCAAGCAAAAGGTAAGTATACATTGTAGCAAAGGACAAGAAAGGAATCAAGGTGCTACAGTAAAGAACAACCAGGGAAACATACTTCAGATAGGTGGTTCAAAGAAGGTATAAATTAAAGAGTCACATGAACAATGAGTTGGGGTGGGAGGGTAAATGGAAAGATACTCTAAACAGAAAAATCAAGCAGGAATTGAGAAAAGCCAGGGAGTCGAGAGTGTAGGAAAGTGGCAAAGAGGTTAGAGAGGCAAGGGACATAATGTTTAGCCAGAATACCTGATGTGAGCAGCACTGTAGGGGAAGTATTTTTCCAAGTATCATTCTACATTTAATTAAATGGTATTCTTTAAGTACCTTTAAATCCTTCCCTCTTATCCTAAATTTAGTCCATTTTCTAAGGATAACATTAAAATTAAAAAAAAAAACCATGGAGACATGTAGTGGATGCTGTGGTGTGCCACCTGGAATGAGGTGTTTATTCCCACATCTGCAGGGCATGTTGGTTATCCCAGAGATCCCAGCTGTGTTCCTCTTTGGGAATTGCTACTAAGACAGTAGACTCTCCCAAGGTCATACCTCTCACGGGGAGGTCAGTGCAAGAGTCTGTAAGACTCTGGTCTTCGGTGGGATGATTCTGAGGGCTCAGTGCAGCTAGAGGCCTTTGCTGGAACTACATTGTCCTGTACGTTCTCCCCATCCTACTTTTCTTACTTTCCCAAAGGTGTTCACCCCAAGGGCACTCCTTGAGGAAACTTCCTGCATAGAAACCTCTGTCTCACACTCTCTTTCCCAGAGAACCAAGCCTAAGACGGTGTGTAAATATTATATGTATATACCTGTAATATGTACATAGACATAATTTTTTTTCTATTTAATATTTCAAAGAGTTGCTTCTCATTTAGTATTTACAGGGAATTTGAAAATGATGATGATAGACACTATAAAGCACTTACCTGTGTCAGGCTCTGTGATGACAAAAACTTTATCTGCACCCACATTTAAATTAATCTTCACAACAACTCTTTGAGATAGGTGCTATTATTATACAATTTGGTGAATTATAACCCTGGAGCTAAGGAGATCAAATGACTTGCCCAAAGTCACAGCAAATAAAAGGTAAAACTAAGAACTAGAGTCTAGTTGCTTTTTAACCGTCTGTGCTCTTAACCAACGTCTGTGCTCTTAACCATCCTGATATACTATTTTCCTAAGACTCACTCATTTTAGCGGTACAATTCTGTGCTCCATTCCTGTGTTTTTAAATTTGTATGTTATAATTCAATTACATGCTTATTAACTTGCTATAAGAAGTTAAATATAAGAACTTCTCCCATTAGTCTAATTCAATAAGAATGATAAAGGAAACTAAATTTTCTAAGATCTAATTTTAAGAGCTAATATAATTGTTTATTTTATTAATGACATGATCACAAATATGATCACAGCTGTTGAAAGGGTCCACGAAGAAGCCAGCCAACTAGATGCTTGTTCCCACCAACAGTCATAATGCTGAGACTTTATCAGAAGGAACAGAATAAGGAAATGATTTCCTAGGTATTTTTAAGCTACCTACATGGCCACGAAGTACAGATAATAAATTAAAAAATCAAGAATCTGTGCAGGCATCCCTATGTAAAGCTATCTGCAAAGCAGATTGATATTAAATAAAAAAATAAAAAGGTGGGAATATCAGGTGATGGATGAAACCTGGTGTTTCACAGTCTTTTATGTTTTCTTTTAAATGTCTTTTTCTCTATCTTTTCTTTCAATTGTCCTGACATTATATCGGAATTCACAATTTGACTCACAAAAGAAAAAAAAAAAGAGCAGATGAAGTTGGAGACCTTACCTGTCCAATAATGAGAGGAACCACAACAGTCATAAAAAGCTGAGAAAAAATAGATGTAAAAGGCACAGAAGAGGACGAGCCAAGCTGCAAAGCAAGAAGGTAAGAGGAGTTAGAATTACTCTGAGTCAGTTATCAAATATTGCTGTTAATTAAATGATACAATACGTGAATTCTCTCACAGGCACCAAAAATTTGGTAGCTATATACAAAGAGCAAGTGAAGTTACTTCTTTTCTAAATTTAGCACCACACAGACTAAGGTACTTTACCATTTAATTTTTATGGGAAACTACCATTGAGGAAAAATGATAACTATGGCTTTGTAATTAACTTACATTGCTTATTATTAACTACATTTCTGCTAGTAAAGTTATTTACTCTGTGTTCATACTGTTCATAATCATATGGCGTGATATTTCACCTATACTCATAGTTTGTGTGCTTTTCTCTTTGTCCTGTCTGCAGATCCCTAAAACAAACAAGGGTGTCTCATCATTGTCTTCTCAAGATCATATTTTCCTTTATGCAAATGAAATAGTTTCTAACTTTTCTACTCCATCACAACAAAGGCAATGAATCTCATATACCTTTGAAATTTATTCATACACAAAATCTAGGAAATGGGAATTCCTGAAACATCATTATTTTTCAACCTAAAATGTCAATATATCTCTTCTAAATGTGTATGTTTTGACACTGCTCATAAGTCCTATTTTTTCCTCCCTCCTCATTTTTTGGTTCGTTTTCACTAACAATTGCAATCTCAGCTTCATAAAGATTCTACTGCTGGGAGACAGGTAGTGTTTGCCTATAAACACAGCCCCATACTCAAGTTAGTCTCAACCACCAAGAATTGCAGGCTTCCTATTAACTTGTTAATGGCTCTCAAAACCTCCTTCTGGTTTTCAAACCTCTCTGGACAAACGATAGCCTGCTCCAGAGATGTTTATCTCTTTTAGGAGTCCCTTTTGCAGTCAGGTTCTTCCAAGTCATCAATAATGATCTCCCTGGAACTTGAAACTTACTTGCACCCTTCCCCTACAGACCAAACCTCAATTTTCATATTTACCTAAGTTTAATAAACTTGGAAATACCTTTTGGAAGACAATTTTTGTGAAAGACTTGAAGGTAGTGGTGAGGGAGGGCATTGTATGTTAAGTAAAACAAATGAAATCTTCAGATAAATGAAGTCAATAGTTCAGAATGAAATGATGTGGGATCAGTGTTTTCACTGATTTCCAATTCCTGCATGAGCCAGCTTACCAAAATCTTTTCAACACCCTGATGTATTTTATAAAGTTCTGCTCCCACCCTCAGCCCCATCCACAACCCCTCAGTGCATCTACATGCACTCAAGATGCCAAGAATGTATGTCCTCCCCATCAGTGGCTTGCATTCACTTCATACTAGCTTTAGCACTGACCACTGGCTGTGAGTTTTAACTCGTAAAAATAGTAGCCTCCAACTTTTTGCTCCATAACCAATATAAACTAAAGAAATGAAGAAGACAAACAGAAAAAGCGAAACTGTGAACAGAAATGTGAACACACAGGATTCCTGGTGTTAAATGCTACATGGTTGTTAGATGTTTCTTTTTATGCAAAGCCTAAGTATTAAAAGCTAATAATCACACCCTACTTTAGAACAACAATGTCTTTGAAGTGTAAGGCATTTAACAAATACATGTTTCTTTCCACAAATAGTAACCCTAAGGATGCTCCTGAGGTAAGAACTAAAAATTTAAAAATGTATATTTTACAGAGAAATTGAGGCACAAATGAATAGACAAATAAAATTTAAAGAACAGAGTTTTCAAATTCAAAAACATTCAGCTCAATGCTCAATCCATAAGGTTCACAATGTTTTGGAGAGAGGCAATAGGATTCCGGGTGATAACCTTCAAGTAAAAGCTGTCAATTCCTGCCTGGAATCTCATGGGTAATCTCACATATTTCTGTCCTCCTCACCCCCCCTCCTTTTTAAAGATTTTATTTATTTGACAGAGAGAGAGACCGAGAGAGAGAGCACAAGCAGGGGGGCAGAGGGGCCACCCAGGTGCCCCTCTGTTTCCCTTTCTATCTCAACTCTACTGTTATTTAATGTGTCTTTAAGATGTTTTAATGAATAACCGCATCAAGCTATACTCCCTCTGTAAGCCCAATGCCTAACCTAATACCTGGCAGAGAGAATAAGTTTGCAGATAATAAGGCTGTGCACAAGGAACAAATGAAGTAATTTGTAAATATACTGAGCTAAAATGTGCCAAACTCTTATTCAAAATCATATCCCTATTTTTTTCTAAAGTTATAAAAATACAAAACTGAAGTATATTTTAAAAACCTCTTAGGGGGTGCCTGGGTGGCTCAGTTGGTTAAGCATCTGCCTTTGGCTCAGGTCATGATCCCAGGGTCCTGGGATAGAGTCCCACATCGGGCTCCCTGCTCAGTGGGGAGTCTGCTTCTCCCTCTCCCTCTGCCCCCCTGCTTGTGCTCTCTCTCTCCCTCTCAAATAAATAAATGAAATCTTTTAAAAAAAATCCTCTTACATTCAGGTGGTGTTATACAGTCACTTGGTATTATTTTTTCACTGCTTGTTTATCACTAGCAACACAATTAATTCTAATATGCACCTAGAAACAAAAGGCATCTAAACGTGATGAGAACCACGTAAAGGATATGTGTGTGTGTGTGCACGCTCGTGTGTGTAAGAAGCAGAGTGAGGGTGGCTATGCATGTTCTCTGCCCTCAGTTCTCCTCCATAGCCCTTCCCTAGCTCCTTAAAGCTGCTCTGGAGGGGAAGACCTAAAACTGAATAGAATCCTAACCCTGGAAGAGATTTGGAGTTCTATTCCCTCTTTTTAAAGATGTGAAAACTGAGGTCCAGGGAGAAATGACTTGTAATTAACACCTCTAATATTTGCATTATGATGTGAAATTGGCTTTGCTTCTCAAACATATTTAGGCAACTCTTTAGCCAAATCTACTCTGTGATAATAGTTCTCTTACACTGGAAGGCTTGGTTGTTTAACCAAAAAGTATTGTTGGAGAGCAATAACCCCAGAGATCAAATAGAAAAGTTAAAACATCATTTATTAAGTTAATTTGGGAGCTATTTTTAATCCCAAGTCTATCTAAAAGATTGCATTTGGGGATAAGAGAAGCAAAGGAAAATTCATGTCAACTTGGGTTTTAAAATTTTTATCTATTTTAACTTCTCCATCCATCACACAATAGACCATTTGCATGTTCAATGTTTTTTTTTAAATTTTTTATTTAAATTCAATTTAGTTAACATACAGTGTATTATTAGTTTCAGGGGCAGAATTTGGCGATTCCTCAGTTGCATATAACACCCAGCACTCATTACATCAAGTGCTCTCCTTAATGCCCATCACCCAATTACCCCAGCTCCCCCCAGCAACCCTCACTTTGTTCCCTAGAGTTAAGAGTCTCTGATGGTTTGTTTCCCTCTCTGTTTTTATCTTATTTTACTGCGTGTTCAATGTTTAGAAGGCTTGTGTTCCTAGAAGTGATCTCCAAAGTCCCTTTGTTCTCTAAAACGCCTATGATCTCTGGTCCACTTGATTAGGAACACGGGTTAGAGGAGCCCCCCGCTTTGTCAGATCAGAGGCCAGAGCAAACTGGCCAGGGATATAATTAACAGGGTACATGACACCAGACTAGGTATGTGATGATGCTGGGGAGGAAATCCCATAGGATGGCTCCCTTAGAAGTGGCTCTGAAAGGAAGGAAATCTCAGTTCTGAGGTCTAATTTGGCATAAGTCCTTTCTTTTCAATCGACAACCCGACCTGTCGCTGTGGTCAGTGCGAAGATGCAGGGATATCCTTGGGGAAGTATCTGACGCTATGAAGTACACCTTGGCATCCAGAATAAAGAAGAGCGAGCATCTGGCATAGGGTGACATATGAGAACATGACCAGAAAAGTACCAAACCTGATCATTTTGTATGCAGAGTTAATTTTAACTAAAGCAGAAGGAAATATGCTGCCTGGGATATTTGGTTCTTCACATTTTAATGAAGAACCTGTCAGGGTTTCTATTGTAAAGACCGATGTGTTTATAAGAAGCATCAATAATTTGTACCTTTGGATAGAGTTGCAGGTTTGGGATAAGTATGTATTAATCCAGGGCTCTGGGCTTCATTGAGCTATCCTGGCAGATTTAAAGGGGACAGTCTCATACTGCCAAACCCGTATTTTAAGATACACTGTGTTAAATGAACAATCTGGTCACTGGCTAATTTCTTTTAGGAATATGATACTTTAAAGCACAGAACTCACAATTAGGTCTGTTTTGTTTAATATCATGCTGAGAAGAAAAGTTTCAGTGAAAATTAAATATGTGGAGACTTAGGACCTTTGTGTTTAATCATTCAAATAGTTACTGGTGCCTCCTGTGAGCCAGGAGCATGTTTTAGGCACTGGGAATCCAACAGTGAACAAACACAACACAAAACCCCTCCTCTCGAGGAGTTGCTTTTTAAAAGTTGAGGTGTGGGGGCGCCTGGGTGGCTCAGTCAGTTAAGTGTCCGACTCTTGATTTCGGCTCAGGTCATGATCTCAGGGTCATGAGACTGACCCGTGTCAGGCTCTGTGCTGAGCATGGAGCCTGCTTGGGGTTCTCTCTCTCCCTCTGCCCCTCTTCCCCCTACTCAAGCTCTCTCTCTCTCAAAACAATTTTTTTAAAGATTAAAAAAAAAGTTGAGGTGTGTGTGCATTTCCACCCACCACCAAGTGCATATGTGTTCCTTTCCATAGAACGCCTTCCACCAACTTATACCTGGAAAAGTTCTAGTCTTTGTCTAAGAGTTAGTTCAATGATCACTTTAGAAATTCTTTCCAAACCCTCCTCCTGAAATTCAGACTTGGCTTCTATTTTGGCTCTGCATTTCTACCGTTCCTCTCCGAATCATTGGTTGCTCTTGTGTACAAATCTGTCTCTCAGTAAACTATATGTTTCAGAAGGTCAGGAACAGGGTCTTATTCATGTTTATATTCCCAGTGCCCAGCAGACTGACTGCATTTTACATCTAGAGCAGTGGTTCTCAAACTTCAGCACACCAGAAACATCTGCAGGGCTTCTTAAAACACAGATTGCTTGGCCCCACCTTCAGAGAAGGATCGGGAGGATGTTGAGAATTTGCATTTCTTTTTTTTTTTTAAGGTTTTTTTAATTTATTTGACAGAGAGAGACAGTGAGAGCAGGAACACAAGCAGGGGTAGTGGGAGAGGGAGAAGCAAGCTCCCCGCGGATCAGGGAGCCCGATGCGGGGCTCGATCCCAGGACCCTGGGATCATGACCCGAGCCGAAGGCAGATGCTTAACGACTGAGCCACCCAGGCGCCCCGAGAATTTGCATTTCTAATATGACTCCATTGACGCTGCTGAGCTAGGGTTCACCCTTTGAGAATCACTCATCTAGTACGTTGTAGGTATTCAGCAACAACTGTGAGTTCAATTAATGAATGTCTACAATGCATAGGTAGAAAAAGAGGCCTGACAAAGTTTTCTTTTCTTTCTATCCTTCCAACTTACAAGTAAGTTACAAAGCCCTACTTAATTTACAGACCCTAGGAAAAGATCAGTTGCCTGGCCTCCCAACCATCTCCTGTAATTACAATAATGACAACTTTTATTGTGTATTCTCTATGTGCCAGACACTGCTCTAAATGCTTAATGTGTGTCAAATAATTTAATCCTCGCAGCAACTCCTTCAGGTAGGTCTTACTAGTACCCGTATTTTCATATATGGCAACAGCGGCACAGAACAGTTGGACAAGGTCACTAGCTAGAGAGCGACAGAGCCAGGATCTAAACCTGGAAGGGTCACTTCACAGCCCTCATATTTAATTTTTACACTCTACTGCATATTAATTACAAAGGTACAGAGCAGTGAAATGGAAAAGGGGGCAGAATGGAAGCCAAAGCTGGGCTCCCCCTTTCTTGCCTACGTGAGAGCAAGAGAGGGAGAGAGAGAGAGAGAGAGTGTGTGTGTGTGTGTGTGTGTGGTGCCTGCATGGAGATAGGAGATGAGGAACTGGAAGGCAGGCAGAAGCAAGAAGAGGAGGAGAAAGAAAAAGGAGGGGTAGGAAGAAACTTGTTAAGTAGTAGCTGATGCAGCCTTTCTCAACCGGGGTTCCAGATTTGAGCCACAGAACACAGAAAATTATTATCTGTCAAGGATGATACCTAGCTAGTACCGGAGTAAACACATCAGAAAGAGTTAATCCAATACATACAATGGATGTCATAGGGCACTGGGACTTAATTTTCTAACCTGGCAGAAAACGGCTGAATAGAAGCAGAATTGACCGTTAGCAATCCATTCAGTTTAGAAACTGTTTGATTTGGAAAGAATCTGGGGGTCCAGCAGGTAAAATATTATAGGGTCAACCAAGACTCAGAAAGACAAATAAGTAACAATTCTTGATGGAGATGCTGACTGTCTGTAAAATCATAGTTATCAACCGACAGTTAGAAAACAGATGGTGTGTTTTAAATCACTTCTGTAAGTGAGCTGACCTGTAAATTGTCATTAATGTACCAGGTCTTCACTTGCTCTGCTGTATAATCAGCCTTTTTATCTCCTACCAGGGAAATCCATTAGCCACAGGCGTCTCTACTGTTCGTGTCTCTTCTCAGCTATTAAAACATTATTGTATTAAATAATTCACCCTTGGTGATTGGTCTTTGCTTTCATTAGCGCCACATTCAGGAAAAATATAAGAACAGATATTTACAGTTTATACTGTAGAGTGATGAATGGTAAATCTCTTCTGTGAGAAAATCAGGAAGAAGCTGCTTCAGATACAGAGCAGGATTTGTTCACTTCCTGCCCAATTTCCACCCTCCGCCGTGGCCCGCAGAGCCCAGCCCTAGGGAGGGGAAAAAAGGAGGGGGCTCGCTTACTATTGGCTCAAACTTTCTTGTACCCCTACACAGACACACTCACAAACACCTGTCTGTTTCCTGTCACAAAGACAAGCATTCAGACAGAATAAGGGAAAGTGTCCCCAGGCCCGGATTCCCCAAATCCTTCTAGATTTCCATCTTTCCCTAGAAACTACAGTTCAGCTTTTCTTTCATTCCTGCTGCCCCTTCTCTCACAGGGAAACATGCAAACTACATTGATTACTTACACAAAATCAATGACTTAAATGTACACCAGCTGACAGGCTCAATGTAAAAATGACTACGATTTTTATCAAAATTAAAATATGATTGTTAAACACCCATATCGATTCAGCCGCATGTATAAAACTAAAATTGGGTTACTGTATGGAAGGTATATACTTAGTAGAGGAAATGAGCCTTTTTATATCTAGATGCATGGTATTTTTCTTTCTTTGAGAGGTAACGAACAAAATAGACTTTTAATAATTTTTTAAAGATAAAAAATTATGTAAAACATTTCCTTTTGTGATACGCTAATTTAAAACACAAGATTACCTTCCAGTAACTGATGGAAACTATGTGCAATTGTAAATTCTGGTTACTCAGACCACACAGGATATTTAGTGAAATGTGCCCAAATGATCTATAAATTGGCTTATCATAACCCAAAAAGAAAAGCTGTGAGGAGATGGGCTTCCAGGACATGGAGGGCTGGATAGAGAGATGCTCAGAGGCATCTAGGAACAAACTTTGCTCCTAATTCCCTGACCACAGAATTTGGTCCTGTCAATCTGTTTGGTTCGGGAACCAAAGAGCCTACTGTTGCCAAACAGTCCCTTAAGTGGAGCAAACATTTAAGTTCCCCGAGAAGAGTGCTCTAAGCCTGGGGACCAAAGGACAAGAGTGGCATAAGGAAGGGGTGTCCTTTTCACTCTGGCCAGACCCTACCTGCTCAGGGAGCACCAGGAGCAGCCGGTGGTGCTGGGAGGGAACCAAGGAGCAAAGTAAAAGCCTGGCTTTCATCCAGCGTCATTGCCCCTTCAGTTAAGTCTGAGAAGTCCCAGACCAGCAGTGGCGTTGGCCTCTCTGGGTCAGGGGTCCTGAAAAGGGAGAAGGGGTTTATCAGTGTCACCTCTGGAGCATTTGAAAGTGGCTTACGAGGTGCTTCCCCTCACCCACTATGGTGCAGTAAGATCTAGAGGGAGTCCGGGCATGACCATTTATAAAAGACTCCACACATTATTTTGCTTTACAAAATTCTCTCGGTGTGAGAACCATTTCTGAGTGATTTCTCATACAAAGTGAGGATAATATGTCTAAAGGGAGTCATGGGATTACCTATAAAGTACATATTATAGCTACTTGATAAAAATTATTCTACCTCCCCTCCCACTTCCCCCTCTCCTCCCTGAAAAACAAGGTTTCTTATACAGTATGGTGGGAATTCAAGCCTATTGAATTTAAGAACCACTGAAATGGAAAGTAACAGAAGAGACAGTCACATCAGCCCAAAGATAAGCTACTCTCAGGTTGAAGAGGAGGAGATTTGTCTTCACTGGCTTTAGGAACGCTCTTGGGCACACGGTGGAGAGACTGGTTCAGTGTGAAGCAACTGGAGCAGTCAAATGGCTAGTTTCTCTTTAAGTGCTTTCTGTTTTACCACTTTGTACATCACACACGTGCGTGACCATCAATTATGCAACTATCATTGGGAACATATTATAAAAAATAATCAGAGTATTGTACATGGCACTAATGGCTGTATTCATTGTTTCTGTTTATATTGATGGGATTAAAAGTGCAATAATTTTCTATCACAGATGGCCAATTACTAGGGAAACTAATGATGATTGTAGCCTCGAAAGCTGCCACTGAGCTCTTTCCCCCACCCTGGCTCTCTCTCTAACATGAACTCTTGAACCATGTAGTCTGAACTGTGTAGGTTAGCAGTGAATTTTTTCCTCTAAATTTCTCCTGTGTTCTTTGTTCTTGTTTACCCAAGTAAGCCTTAAGTTTCTTCAAGACAAGAATTATGCGTTTTTCTTTTTTGTCTTCCCTATGTTACCTACAATATCCATGGTCAAGAAATAATAATTGAGTGCTGGTCATCTGTCTTAAAATAAACTGTGTCTCCTAAGAGGCATGCTTTGGAAAGGAACATTCAAGGGGACACAGAGCCTGGCTGAAAGTCCCTTGTGTTCTTTACTAGTTGCACAGCCTCCAGTGAGTTATTAAACGTCTTTGAGTCTAAGTTTTCTCATACAAAGTGAGGATAATATGTCTAAAGGGAGTCATGGGATTACCTATAAAGTATATATTGTAGCTACTTGATAAAAATTATTCTACCTCTCCTCCTGCTTTCCCCCTCCTCCCTGAAAAACAAGGTTTCTTACACAGTATGGTGGGAATTCAAGCCTATTGAATTTAAGAACCACTGAAATGGAAAGTAACAGAAGAGACAGTCACATCAATGGAACATAGAGTTAGTTCAGAAACAGCCTGGTGTGCGTGCATGTGAGTGTACATCCGTGCTTGTGTGTGTGTATATATATGTCTAATTATTATAATGCCTTATAAATACCTTCTTGAAGATAGGCTGGGTTCCTAAGAAGTCAAGTCATAACCAATCAAGTGACAGAATAGCAGAGCTAGTGCTGCTCTCACTTAAGGGGTGCTTACATGTTCCTGAATGGGTAAGTGTGGAGCTAAATGTTTATCAAATATCCTAAGGTATTGATGTGATCATCCCCATATATGAAGATGGTCTGATCTATGACCCTGAGGACATGACTTTCAGCAGTGGTCAAAGTTTGGACTCTGCATGTTTCTAGAGGCCTTGATGTTCAATGACCTTTATGGCTAGGGTGGAAGCGAGGCCTTGATCTGTCATTTTAATAGCACAAGCTCAGTGTTACTGACCTTACCCTTCCAAACATAAGCTTATTTAAATATATTGGTGGTCTACAGATTATGAAATTTGATACCATGAACATAGTCTCTAATACACGGTTTCTTTAGCTCACAATTGCATTGAATTAGACAGACCTATTCTATGCTGTGAACACTGTTATCTCCGCCCTTTGTCTTAACTCTCAGAGGAAGTAAGTTCACACTGTTTCCTTTCATTCCCCAGAGTAAGCAAGATGGGGCTGGTTAGATGCTGTGGGGTAGTAGCTCAGGAGGCTTCAGGGGAGCAGGAGTCCACAGAAGCAGGAGCTTCACATTGCCCAATGGACCTTCCCAGTGTGGTTGACTCAGATTTCAAACCCCACGGGCTGACCTCACTGCCTAAGTGTTGAACTCAGCGCTCTGGCCTCTTCATCTTAACTACCACTCTCCATTCCAGTTCCAGCTCTAAAATCTCTCTCCCTCAGTGCTCTCTACCATTGGCTGTTGCATAAAGACTATAATAATGGCTGGGCAACAACCATATCAAAGGAAAGGCATGGCAAGTTTTGAAGTGATGTCAGACATAACAGAATCAGAACCATGCAAATGAAAAACTCTGAAGTAAGCAGGAGATCCTCTAGAAACCTCAGAAGTTTCCTTCTAACTTTCTCTTTTTCCTCAAATTAAGTTTCCTTTCAGTACAAAATTCTCTGTAAGCCACCCCCCACTTCTTCTATTAAATGAAATGTTTTCTATTTTAGTAATCTCCTTTGAAATATTTTGATACTTGTGATACTTATAATTTCTGGCTTAGATTTTAATTATCTATGAATGTATTCTATTTTCTCTAATAAACCATAAATTCTCTGAGAGAAGGATCAATGTCAGATTGATCTTTGTAATATTCACAGTGCACAGTAGGCATTCAAACACTGAATAAAAGAAGGGATGTTTTCCTTAATATTATTGAAAAAAAAAACGTAAATTCTTTCTCATAGCAAATACAAGGTAAGATTTTATGCAGCAGGCTGAGACCCTAACCTTCTAACCATTCATTTATCATCTGAACCACTCTAATCATTCACTACTCACCCACCTTTCTATTCCGCTCCTTCCAACAAATATTTATTGAGTATTTGACATTGGAAATAAGGTAATGAATAAGGCATGCCTGGTTCCTGGCCTGGCAGAACTTCAAATCTAGTGGATGCTTACCACTTGTAACACGGCTTTGTAAGGAAAATTAATATGGAATTCCAAGTAATGAATGTATAAGTGCAGTTTTTAAAGCTGGGCAAGGCTTTATTTATCCTTATGAGAGAACTCCATGGACTGGTGCATATCTACTGATAACATAAAGACAATAATTTCCACCCCTGCCAATATCAGTGGTATATTATCAAGAAAATCGAGGTAGTATATGTAAAAGCATTTTGAATCTTAGGAACAAATGGTGATATTTCAGGAAAAGTTTTACTGTTCTCACAGTCAGCCACAGTAAACACTGGATTTATTTACATATAGATTATAAGATTATAGACTATAAGTGATTGTAGAATCTTAAAGGTTAAGTTTTAAGGCTCAGCCCACCATTAAGGGCTGGGCTAGTTGGACTGTTGCTGCATCTCAGATAAGCATTTCTACAGAATCTTGACATCCTTCCTGGAATTATTTTCTATTTTCCTTTCTAAAGCGTCAAATGTAAATAATTAGCACTTGCATGGTTCTTTATAGCTTACAGCATGCTTTCACATAAACTAACTCATTTCATCTTATAATAATCCTCATTTTATAGAGGAAAAAACTGAAGCTGAGAAGGATTAAGGAAAATCCACTGTTACACAACAATTTGGCTGCAGGCTGAACCAAAATGTTATGCCTTCTCCGCATACCATGCTACCTCTCTACACACAGACTGTGAGGGAAAGTGAAGGCAGTGCCTTCAAAATGGCTTTATAATAAAGGAACAAATGCCCAAAGGTAGAGCAAGTAACAAGGAAATACCAATCTTAAAAGTAGTCCTAACCCAACTCTTTGGGCAGATGCATTCGTTCATCTGTCCATCTGAAATGTGAGACAGTAAGAAATATAATATATTCGGTCTTAATCCTGGCATAGAACTTCCAAAACTCTGTAACTTCCTGAGTCACAGGGGTGATAGGAGTATCTTTTACTATAATATTTGTGTTTTGTCCCCAGTTCCTGGCACAGAGGATTTGGAGAGTTCCTGCATTGGGGAATGTATCCACATGCAGGTGGTTAGTATACCCTAAACTCCATGGGGACATAAGATCCTGCATTTGGGACCCTTCTAGACCTTGCCCTATGTACCTCTGCATGTGGCATTCTGTATTCTTTTAATTTTTTTTTAAAGATTTTTATTTATTTGAGAAAGAGAGAGAGAGATAACAAACATGAGCCAGGGGGAGGAGCCGAGGAGGGAGCCCGATGCACAGCTCGATCCTGGGACTCCAGGTATTCTTTATAATATCATTTATAATAAACTGGTAATAGGAAGTAAATGTTTCCCTGGGTTCTCTGAGCCATAATAGCAAATTATCGAACCTGGGGAGAGAGGTCTTGGGATCCCCTGAGTTGAAGCCAAGTCAGACAGAAGTGTGAGTATCCTAGAAACCCACTACTTGCCATTAGTGCCGGAGGTGGGGGGCAGTCTTGTGGGACTGAGCCCTTTACCTGTGGGGTCTGTGCTAACTCCGTGCAATGTCAAAACTGCAGGACACCCACTTGGTATCCACAGAAAACGAGAATTGCTTGGTAGTGGAAACCGCACATATTTGGTGTCAGAAGTGCTGTGAGTACAGAAACATTTTCCTTTACCAACCATCCATTCAAAAAATGTTTTTGAGTGGCTTCCATGGATTGGCACTATTTTTGGCATTGGGGTTACAACAGTGACCAAAACAGATAGTCTCTGCTCTTCTGTGATGCTTATGTTCTAGTTGGGGAGACAGAGAATAAACAAACTAACAAATGATGAAGATGTCATGCGATAATAAACGCTAAAGGGAACAATTAAGGATGGTAGGTGGGGAGAGATTGGTGGAGAGAGTATATATTGCTCCACATGAAGTAGTTAGGAAAGGATTCTCTCCTAAAATGACATTTGATTAGAGGCCAGAGATGAAAGTGAAGGAGTGAGCCATGTGGATATCTGAGGGGGAAATCCAGCTTGAGCCAATGCCAAATGTAA